TGGTTTAAATCTACTCATAAAGACCCTGTTGACTGTAACAGGTTTAGCTAAATATTGGTGTAAATCTACTCATAAAGACCCTGTTGACTGTAACAGGTTTAGTGACACAGAGAAGCTAAATATTGGTGTAAATCTACTCATAAAGACCCTGTTGACTGTAACATGACAGGTTTAGTTAAATATTGGTGTAAATCTACTCATAAAGACCCTGTTGACTGTAACATGACAGGTGTAGCTAAATATTGCTGTAAATCTACTGCTGTTAGGATAAATAACATGATGTTTGCCTCGGTAGCCAATTGGTAAATTAGTGTTCGATTCATTTGAATATTTGGATAGTCACAATATTATAATTTGATAACTCTCATTTGTAATTTACCTTTATTTATTTTGTTGCATTATGAATAGAATCTATCTATCTATCTATCTATCTATCTATCTATCTATCTATCTATCTATCTATCTATCTATCTATCTATCTATCTATCTATCTATCCATCCATCCATCCATCCATCCATCCATCTATCTATCTATCTATCTATCTATCTATCTATCTATCTATCTATCTATCTATCTATCTATCTATCCATCTATCCATCTATGTATCTATCTATCGTAATTTTACTTATCTATCCATCCAACTATCCATCCATCCATCCACCCATCCATCCAAATTTACCTTATCTATCCATCCATCCATCCATCCATCCATCCATCCATCGTAATTTACCTTATCTATCCATCCAAATTTACCTTATCTATCCATCTATCCATCGTAATTTACCTTATCCATCCATCCATCTATAAATCCATCCATTGTGCTTTTTTCCGCTCTAACGTGCACATTTCCCCACCGTGGGATCATTAAAGTTTCCTATTCATTTCTAAATTCTGCCCCTGTTTAATCTAAACTTTCCCCCCTCCCCCTCCAGCTCTCTGAGGAGCGTCCGTTCTCACCTCTTGTCTGATTTCCGGGACAAAGGCGAGGCGGTGAAGCTCACCACGCAGTGCCTCAGCCAGGAGTTCGAGGGCCCCTGCTCCCGGCTGCCGGCCCACGTGCACAAACCCGCGCACGTGAGCTACGACCGCTGGCAGAGCAACTGCCAGGGCCTCAAGATGGCCGCCGACGGCCTCATCCGGGAGTCCGCCGCCTTCAGGGGGAACCTGCAGTTCCTGCTGGCCAACGTAAGGAAGCAACTCAACTCAGAAACACACTTATAAGTCTAATAAGTATTTGACCCCTTGCTGATTTTGCAGGTTTGCCCACTTACAAAGAATGCTTGTTTTTCCTCATCAGATGGTTATCAAATTTTTCTAAATTCATATGATGAGATTTTCTGGAATTTTCTTTGGGATTCTGTCTTTCACTGTTAGAAGGCCAGTGACCCCCACCTATTCTTCTCTCACCCCCCTCTACCTCACTAATTTACCCAATGCTACGTTCAACATTTTCTGGTCTGTCGTTGGACATTCAATATTTTATTTTATTTTATTATTTATTATTATTATTTATTTTATTTATTATTTATTATTTATTTATTTATTTTATTAAAATTTTTTATATTTTTATTTCTACATTGTATGTCCTTTCTTGCTTCTCATAGAAGTGTTGTGCACCAAACACCAAAGCAAATTCCTTGTAGGTGAAAAATCTACTTGGCAATAAACCTAATTCTGATTCTGATTCTGATGATTAAAGTTATAGATCGTTGCGTTCTTTGTAAGTGGGCAAACCTGCAAAATCAGCAAGGGGTCAAATACTTATTTCCTCCACTGTACACACACACACGCACGCTGCCGCTTTCTTCATGCCTGTTACTTGAATGACTGTATTGTAAATATTGCACATTACAATTGATCACTTTTTTATTTAGTATATCACATAATTTTCTTATTATATGTCTAATTTATCTAACTTATCTAATTTATGTCTATGTCTGCACGGGAGAGCAAGAAACGAAATTTCAATTCTTTGTATGACCAACGCATGTAAAGAAATTGACAATAAAGTCTACTTGACTTGACTTGATCTGTGGCTCCTCTGGGGATGTCCTCACGTCTAACGTCTGATTTATTCGACTTATTTCACAGCTGAAAAACTCCCAGGAGCACCAGCGGAGGAGCACAGACGAGGCTCTGCGCAGGAAAATCTACGAGCTGACCAGAGTCCAGGACACCCTGATGTGGGAGAAGCAGAGGGTCAGTTTCTCTCTCCGGCCTCCTTTAACTCATTTTTTTAATTCATGTTTTTATTCACATGACACGGTCAAGTACAAACAGTGAAAAGTGATGATTTTTTTTTTCTTTTTACAAAAACAACAACCACTCATTCCCTCCCCAATCCTACAAGATTATGCTACAGATCAGTAATAACCCACATCCTTCCTTCTTACCGAACACAAACATGTGAATAAAAAAGTATATAGACAATTAAAAAGGAGAGAGTAGTAAGAATAACATAAATAAATAAATAAATAAATAAATAAATAAATAAATAGAAAACACCACAAAATAAAACTGAGAATTAAAATTTTCAATGGGTTGAGATGAAGCAAGGAGGAAAGAAAAATGTAATCAAAAGTCAATTTTCAAAAGTGGAAATTTAATTTGTCCTGTCTTTAACTCATTGATTGGCAGCCATTTTCAGAACAGAGTCCCATACTACCAGAGTTTTTTGAGCATTTTGACAGATTTTTCAAGAGCCACAGAATAGTTTGTGCTATGACTATGTAAACACCGAACACACCAAAAGAAAGAGTAGACTCTCTTCTTTTATCAGGAAAAATAAAATGTGTTTCTACCTTATTCCGTTCTTTAGCAATCACCAGTAGAACATAGGTTGGTTTCAACAAAAACACCCGTTTTTGACCGATAAATGGAGAAAACAAGCTTTTTGTGAAAAGATACAGTTCAAGCAGAGAAGTGTCTTTGATGCTATTTTTTGGGCTTTAGTGACACCTCAAACATCTTAAAAGTTGTATCCTTCTGTAAAACGGCAAAAACAACATCTAGAAATGGTTTTGAATGACAAAAAAATGTATTGACAAATACATTTATGTAAATAGTTCTGAAACACGCCTCGAGCTAGGCCCGGGTTGATTTCCTTCATTTCCCACGATCGGGACTCCAACCCAACTACTGCGATTGCGACACAAACTCTGTTTGAGTGTGAGCTGCCTTAACTTCCTCGACTACATACATACTCTGTCTAGAAGCCTGATATTTACGGACAAGCTTTAGCAGAACGTCCCCCAGCCACTCTCGTTGAAAAACATAAAAGATGTCTATAGACGTCTTTGGCAGCCAACGGTTGTATTTGAATTGACGTCAACAAGACGTTAGCCTTGAATTGCTAGCGGCGGCTAATGGCTAATAATAACACGCCAACATTAATCAAGTACATTTCCAACTCCGCCCACATACAAGTCGGCCATTTTGATTGCATCACCAATAGGAAGATCCCAGGCAAGAAAATCGTAAATGCCTCATGGCAATAAAGACATTAATTAAAAAAAATTTAAATTAATTTTTCAAACACTTAATTAAACTCTATGCGTAATATTATGTTAAAATAGTGGATGTTAAATAGGTTTGAACAATAAGTCCAAACAAGTTTAACCAAAAAATATTTATTTCGCACAATTAACAGTCCGAGGCTCACCCTCTGCTTTTCTGCCCAGACCAAGGAGGAGATCTCAGATCTGACTAAAGACATCCAGAAGGTGGCGGGACAAATTAGGAACTGCGACTCCAGGCTGCACCAGGCTAACCACCGGCTGGACGTCCTCAACCAGAGGCCGGGATTCGAGCTCTGCCTGGACAACGTGAGGACCTCTGGGGAACACACACAGGGTGGAAGCCACCAGATAAACGCAGCTAAAGGGGCCAAACAGTCGTTTAAAGGGAGCAGTGAACTATTATAACAGCATTTAAAAACACAACGAATGGGATTAAAGGGGACATATTATGCAAAACCAAGTTTTTAATAATTTGATTATGTTCATTTGGGACTGTGGAGGGCCTATCAGCAGGCAAAGTGTGAAAAAAAATGACTCAGTTGTGTTTTTGTGGGCCGCCTCAGTCTGAATCCAGGAGATAAATCAGGAGGTTTCAGGAGTGGGTAGTTTCTGACGTCATTAGCTCTAGCTCATTATAATATTCCAGCCTTTCACCTGCATGTTGCCCCCCCCCCTCAGCTTACTCCCCTATCTGTGGAGACGTCCTGGTAGCGTGAGCGTTAGCATGGTAGCGTTAGCATGGTAGCGTTAGCATGGTAGCGTTAGCGTGGTAGCATTAGCGTGCCAACGTGAGTTGCCTGTGTCTCATTTGCATTTAAAGAGACAGGCACTCCAAAGCGAGCGCTCTGAACGGGGCTGTTTTGGGTTAGGGTTAGGGTTAGGCAGGGGGACTGAACTGCTATTGGGCTTCATCCTTATGGGATTTTGACCAAAGCTTGTCACAGACATTACATTAGGACACCAGGGAACTAGCTTAACTTGTTGAAATAGGGTATAATATGTCTCCTTTAAGGGGTAATGAGCATTTCTCTGTTTCTCCCTTTAGCCCCACATCAGTCTCACGCTGGAGAAACAGGACCTGACCAAGATGGCCGCCGGCCTGCGCTGCTCCCTGAAACAGTCCCAGTAAGTTCCCCTTTGCCCCCCCCCTAATCCTAACCCTAACCCAAACCCTAACCCGGACCCTTCATAATTGTGAGAAAGAAATATTTTTTGGTTAAACGTGTTTGGACTTATTGTACGTAAACCTATAAAACATCCACTATTTTAATTTAACATAATATTATGTATAGAGTTTAATTCAGTGCAAGATTATTTTCACTATTCATAAATTAATGTCTATATTGCCATGAAGCAATTACCATTTTCTTTCCTGGGATCTTCCTATTGGTGACCTAATCAAAATGGCCGACTTGGATGTGGGGGAGTTGAATATCCATCCTTGGCTTCCTGCAGTCTGCAGTGATAGTTACTTGCTTTTTCCTTTTAAAAAACACAACTATTGTGGAGGACGTCTCGTTCCTATGCGTCTAATTAGGAGGATAAACCTGAATTAGACATAGACTCAGCCAATCTAATCTAAATCTCATTAACTTTTCGTTAGTGAGATTTATATTAGAAGATTCTCTCTGTCTCTGATGTGTAATGTGTTCACAAAGATTGTGTTCTTCCTATTGGTGACCTAATCAAAATAGCCGACTTGGATGTGGGCGGAGTTGAATATCCATCCTTGGCTTCCTGCAGTCTGCAGTGATAGTTACTTGCTTTTTCCTGCGATCGGCCTTTTAAAAAACACAACTATTCTGGAGGACGTGTCGTTCCTACAGTGGAGGAAATAAGTATTTGAGCCCTTGCTGATTTTGCAGGTTTGCCCACTTACAAAGAATGCAACGATCTATAACTTTAATCATATGTACATTCTAACAGTGAAAGACAGAATCCCAAAGAAAATTCCAGAAAATCACATCATATGAATTTATAAAAAAAATTGATAACCATCTGATGAGGAAAAATAAGCATTCTTTGTAAGTGGGCAAACCTGCAAAATCAGCCATGGGTCAAATACTTATTTCCCCGACTGTATGGGTTTAATTAGGAGTAACAAACCTAAATTAGACACATAATTAGACACAAAATTAGACACTTAGACGCGTCCTACCCGGCAGGAAGGAGCTGGAGCTGTCCGGGCGGCGCCTGCTGGTCCTGGATCAGCGGCTGGCCCTGAGCGCCGGGGCCCTGGAGACCGAGAGGCGCTGCCAGAAGCTGCACCAGAGCTTCCTGCCCGCCCTGGACACCGCCGTGGTGCTGGCCAACCGGCCCAAGGTGGCCCCGCCCCCCACCGGCCCCGGCCCCCTGGCCCCGCTACAGTAGAGAGAACCACCCACCCCCCAAACACAGCCCCGAATAAAAGAGATGGCATATTTATGCTGGCACATTAGCCTGAACGGGCCCCTGTGGTCACTTTAGGGGGGTCTGACCTACACCACACGAGGAGGTATATGGGTAAATGTTCGATATTATTATAATATTATATAATATTATAATATATTATATATATATGTATGTATATATATAGATATATATATATATGTATGTATATATATATATATATATATACATACATATACATATACATATATATATTATATAATATTATAATATTATTTAATTTAAATATAACTTTATTTACACAGCGGTAAATCACAATAGCAGGTATCTGACAGCTTTCCAAACAGAGCAGCTCAGACTCTGAGTTATTTACTCTAAATAACTGTAAATAGAGCAGCACCAGGTGACCCAGGGAGGGAAAAACTGCCTTTAGGAGACAGAAACCCTGGAGCAGAAACACATGGAGGTTCAGACGGTAACGCTGGTGTTGCTACAGACTGGATACAAAATGATCCAGATCATAACATAATGATAATGATAACAGTATTAATGGCAATAGGACTAGGAAACACAGGACTATGGGGAAGGCAGGAAGTCCAGTTAGTGACGTCATTAATGGGATGAAGCTGCAGTGAGAGAGAGGAGAGGAGAGCTCGGTGCATCATGGGAAATACCCCGGCGTCTGGGCCTATGGCAGCATAACTAACGCTTTACTCACCCTAACTATAAACTTAAAATCATAAAGGGGGGTCTTAGGCCTGCTTTGAAATGTAGATCTCATCGTTTGATGTTTATTTATTTATTTATTTAATCAGGACGGTGCACATTAATGAACAATCTCATACAGATTGTAAATGAGCCAGATTCTAGCATAGTTGCTAGTTTACATCTGTGGTCCTGAGGCAGGAAGACCAAACAACACAAAATCACAAAATACAAAATCAGTCCAAACACACGTTCAGACAATGACATTACAAAATTAAAATGAGTGATTGCATGACTGGGAACTTTTGAGAAACAGTTTAATGTGCTTTTTAAATGTGCAAAAAGTGGGACATTCCCTGACGTTTGTTGGGAGGCTGTTCCAGAAGTGACCCCCCTCTGACCGGTAAAGGTTTGTCCAGAGGTTGTTCTTCTGTGGGGGGTCTCTAAGACTCCTCTGGAAGAGTCTGCCAGGTCTAATGGAGGTAGAAAGTGGAGGTGGGGCTAATCCATTCAGAACTTTGTAAGTCACTTAAGGTGTTTTTGCGGATCATTACGTGCACACGGG